TGAACAATATGGCTGCAGTAATGGAGTAGATAACTGGTGGATAACTAGACTTGATATCCCTGTGACTCCTTCCCGTGGGGTGGAAACAAAGAGGTGAAACAGGTGATCTTCATTGTCTAATGACTGTGTAACTATCTCTCCTAATACTATGCCTACTTTATTTATAGCAAATACTGAAAAGGCTTACCAAAACGCCTGGGCAACCCAACAAGGCCCAAAACTCAAAGGCCTATAGCATAGAGAATGCCACATAAAAGAAGCATCAGAAAGAAATATCCCACTGGGCTTCATTAAGAGTAACATTGGATCAGCATGGGCTTGCAGTCTCAGGCAGTCATTGGGACTGAAGCAAGCTTTTGAAAGATGAGCATAGTTTCCGTGAGTGATGAGGAAGAGTGTGTCATATAAGACATGGGGATCAGCATTAGCCAAATGCACAGAAAAGTGGGAAAAACTGTCAATAGAGGGGATGAGGTCAAACTAAGGGGAAACTTGCAGGAATAAGGAGTTTACAAAAGATGTAATGATTTAAACTAAGAAAAAGTGTGATCAACGTGCACTGCAGGAAGAAGTCAGCCCATTGACCTGTGGGTGTCTCATAGGGATCTGAGGGCCAGAGAAGCCTGGAGGCTCGACCAGACCCCATACTGACATTCTTGAAGTGAATACAATGCTAACACCACAGCAGAAGGAGAAAAGTCCAGGTCTGGGGAAAAACACCATTTTGAGAAATGCCTCCTTAGGACTCTGGAGACTAGTTGGTTTATATAAAGGAAAAGGAGAAGGAGAAAGAGGAAGTTAATATCTTTGAGATCAAGAGAAGTCTGGAGACTCAAAGCTAGAGTACAGAGTCTCTATGACCACCCTACTAGCAGCATGAACTTGGGAATGTTATGGGTCCTTTCTGTCTCCAATGCAAATATTGACAATATGAGATGGAACACACAAAACACTTAGCACACATGTATCTGGAGAGCAGAAGTCAGGCCCTATAAGTGGCATTTAGCCATCAGCGAACCACATGTATGCACAATGGAACCTAATGATTCCTACCACTTAGTAGCATGAGGGAGCAGTACCTTGTTCACATATGTAATATGTTACACTACCTGGACTATTTTAAAAAGGCATAGAGTCTGCTGTCATATGTCACAGATAATACTTAATAACTGGCTATTTTACTGCTGTGTGTATTTTCTGTGCTGTTCCTTTGTCATTATTTTAGAGTATTATTTATGAGCTAACTGAAAATGGCATGTGAGTCAGTCAGTATACATGTGGGCCTTGGTACTAACATGAGAAATTTTGAACTATAGGGCTTGGGGAGTTGTTTCCATTGGTGAAAGGTTAAGCCACACAAATATGAAAACCTAAATTCAATAGTACCCATGTAATAAGCCTGGAATAGCATACATCAGTAATCCCAGCACTGGAAAGGTAGAGACAAAGGGATGGCACGGGCTTACTGGCCAAACAGCATAGCTAGACCAGTGAGCTCTAAGAGATGTCTTAAGAGAGATCTTGACTAAAGGGCTGACAAAATGATTCAGCAGGTAAAAGCACTTGCCAGCAAATCTGATGTCCTGAATTGAATACCTGGGATCCACATGGTAAGAGGAGAGAACCTACATGCCAAGCTATCCTAAGTTTCTCCACCTGTACTGTGACACATGTGCACACACACACATGCATGCACATATACAAACATACACACATATACACATACACACATATAGACATATGCACATATACATATACACACAAAATATTTTGATGAATGTATAAAATAAATAATAAAGATACTCGGTTGAGGAAGACACTCAAAATTGACTTAGGGTCCCCACTTGCATGCACTTGTGCAGACACAAATAAATATGTACACATACACCACACACACAAAGAATAGACTTAAATGTAGTGAATAACTTGGAAGTTTTGTTTTTTGAGACAAGATTTCATTAAGTACAGGCTATCCTCAAATTCACTGGATGTTCCTGCCTCCACCTTGCAAGTCCTGATTACAGTAATGGACCACAAACCTCTTTAATCAATTCTTTTCTCTCCCAGGCAACATTTTTTTTATAATTTTAATTGATCGTACATTAACATTCTGTGTGTATATATGTGTACACACGTGCATGTGGGGGGGCCATGTTGGGCGCACAGAGGCGGTCAGAAAAAACTCATGAGAATTGACACTCTCTTTCTACCATGTGGTTCTGGGGATTGAACTCAAGTCCTCAGTCTTGGTATAAAGAAAGTGTCTTTACTCGTTGAGCCATCTCAAGGACACACCATATATTTTTTTCTTGTTATCTACATTTTTTGAGATAGGATTCATGTAATTCATGATGGCCCCAAACTTCTGATGGATCAGCCTCAACCTCTCAAGTGTTGGGATTACAGGCATGCATCATCACACCCTGTGTGGTGCATTAGAATTAAACTGAGAACATAAGGCAAGCACTCTAACTGAGATATAGCTCCACGTAATACACACCTAAGAATGTTATAATTTTGACTGCTAATTTATTGCATAATGTTTTATTTCTATCCCTTTGCACTATAAATTAGGCATGATTGTTGATTTATATCCATGCAGCCAATGTGGATTTATATTGAATGTGCAGTCACTAATTAATTATATCTCACCTTGTGTTTGAGAGCGTCGTTGTGGATACTATAAGCGCCAATGTTGCTTCAGTGAAAACTGTCAAGAGGGAAACTCAGTGTTGGCATTTATAAAAATTGGCTATTCTTTTCTCCCACTTTTGAAAAGAAAATACATCAATTTTTCCCTGAAAATGTGGAGCTACAGAGCAACATGTTGTTTCTTTAGACTTTAGCTCCCATTGCTGCTGTTGAGGAATGGGTTTCTAGTCTAGAGTCTTAGTAGGTAGTACTTTCTCCAAGCTATTTTTAGGGATGCTATCTGTGATGTATCACGATTGAGGTTTCCTGTTATTTATTCTTCCTAGGATCCATTGAGCTCCTGGGCCTGAGCGTTGATGTTCTTCAGTACTTCTGAGAAACAGTCTGCCAATGCCTCCCAAGCAATGCCTCTTTCACGTTTATCTAGGATTTTAGCTCGCTCTCCGAATCATCTTTAGTTTTTGTTGTTGTTTCGATGATTTTCCAAATCTTCATCTTTCTGAGCTGACTTTTAAAGGATCATTGTCAATATGTCCTTTTTGCATGCTGACTTTCATTTACAGTATTACATTTTAATCACTGCAAGTTCTGTCCTGGGATTTCAAATGTCCATGGTCATTCCTTACAGTTTCTTCTTCTTTGTTTTGATATCCACATATAAGATACTAAATGTGTCGGTTTTGTGGTCTATGGGCATCTCACTGTCTTGGACGGTTTGCTCAGCTATCTGTTCCCATGGGAATTATTTCCAATCTAGATTTATTACACACTCATTCACAGAGGGTCTGTGTTTTCTTCTCCCTCTTATCTGGAGCCATCACTCAACCAAAATAATTGACATTAACATACCACTTTCTAGGTCTCAAACCACACTAAGAGGACCAATGACAAACCTGTGTAGGGTCTTGCTCGTGTTTAGAAATAATCGAGTGGAATTCTTTTTTAGTCTTCCCAGAGCCTACCTCAGTCCTCCTTGGTTGAGGCAACCAAGTTTCCCTGAAGCCTTCTTTTATATAGTTTCTTAGTTTTCCCTCCTAGCATTTTATCGGGGAGTACTTTGATGTATGCCAGCTTCTGTGATACTCCCCAAGGACTCCCCCATACTGCAGAAAGTCATCAAGTCAGATGTTCAAGGGCTGCCTGGTTTGGGAGAGCTCTTCAGATCCTGCCCTGCTCTGTGCCCCCAAGCAGATTTTCTTTAGAAATTAAATATCCCCATATTTCATGCCAAGTCAATAGTATATTTCAAAAGACTTTCTACCACTGCCTAGTATAACAAGTATGTAGTTGAGCTAAAAGTTGTGTGTCTGTGTATATGGTCATCATTATATTTATAGCTTTTGTTATATATACTTCTTTATATATTGAACTTGCTGTTGAATATAGATAAACTTTGATTTCCACTATAAATTTTCATTTTTAACTATAGAATATCTGGCATGTCTTCTGTCATGTGTCTTTTAAAGATAAAGCATTTGAGCTGGGTGTAGTGCCACATACGTCTAGTCTTAGTACTGAGAAGGCAAAGAGAGAGCCAGGAGGATCACTGTGAGTCTGTAGTCACCATGATCTGAAAAAAATGTTCCAGGCCTACCATAACTACATAGTTTCTCTTAAAAATTAGATAAATAAAGGTAGATAGATGATTGGCTGATGAGACAGACAGACAGATAGACAGACAGACAGACAGACAGACAGGCAGATAGATAGATGATAGATAGATAGATGATAGATAGATAGATAGATAGATAGATAGATAGATAGATAGATAGAGATGATAGACAGACAGACAGACAGATGATAGATATTACATAGGTAGGTAAGTAGATAACATACTATTTAAGGTACATTTACAACTAGATATGACCTGCATTACCTGATTTTAAACTTTTTGTTGTATTATGCAGAATTTTAGAGTCTTCTGAAACCTCAAAGCACAGCAAGCTCACAAAACCACAGAGACATAGTTATATCTACCTCTAGTTTATTTAAAGGGATTGATCATGTTGAAAATATTAGGAATATCCAAATTATTGTACAAATATAAACAATGGTAAAATATCAACATGATTTGATTTAGGCAAATTGCTTACCCGAAAAGTTATGTTTGATACACTTAATACAGTAATTTCCAAATTGCCAATAACTCAGAATTTCTACAAAACCTCTAAAAATGGAACCCCTTTGTCTCTTCAGGCCTCTTTTGGTATAAGAAATGAGCCCTTCTCCTTACTCTGTCTGATTTCACATAAGACATTTTCTTCAAGTAGGAACACATATAACTGTCACAGTGTCAAGCCGCCTCAGGCAGCTCTGCCCATCTCCCTCATTCTCCATCTTTATTCTAGTATGTTCGAGTATCTTTTGATACGAAACCTGATCTCTTGCTACACCTGATGACCAAGGAATGGCAACTGGAGCTTCCCAAACTTCTCATTTCTGTGCACGGAGGGCTGCAGAACTTTGAACTCCAGCCCAAACTCAAGCAAGTCTTCGGGAAAGGGCTCATCAAGGCAGCCATGACAACTGGAGCATGGATCTTCACTGGAGGGGTCAACACAGGTAATCAGAGTAGAATGGAGAAAGGCAGCTGCAACCACAATGTGTCCAGACTAATTTTGCCTCAAGTTGAAAATATCCGTACTTCTCTACCTCACCTGCTCACCAACTTCCTCTTACTGCTTCTCCTTCCATTTGCCTTTGTGAGAACTATATAGATGTGTGTCAACTAAGGAGAACTGCATATGAGGAATGGCTTTACTATTTAATGACTTGTACAATTTGTATACATAACTAATAGAAGTTCACAGAATGTTTTAATAGTACCCACTAACTTTTTACAAGATAACTTTTTGTTTTAAATTGAAATGTCTGCCCTTTTTATTTAGGTAATTTCTAACTTTCTTAAAGGGAAGGGGAGAGGCAAGAGAGAGGGGGAGAGAGAGACAGAGAGACAGAGAGACAGAGACAGAGACAGAGAAAGAGACAGAGAAAGACTGTACATGCCATAGCTAATACATGGCATGACTACTACACATAGGCAGACAACCTCAGGTGTCAGCCCCTGTCTTCCACCTTGTTGAGGCAGAATTTCTCTGTTGTTTGCTCCTGTATACACCAGGCTAGCTAGACTGTGAGCCTCCAGGGACTCTCCATTCTCTGTTTCATCTCTACAGGCATGTTACAGATGCTTCCACTACTACTACTGTACCTGGCTTTTACATGGGTTCTGGTGATTCAAACTCAGGTCCTTATACTTGTATGATAGTTGCTTTCTCCACCGGGCTCATACCCAGCCCTACCTTTTTTTAAAAAAAAAAAATACCATTTTTATCAGAAGTTCGAATTATAAAGGTTAAGTCTAGATTATTAAATGCTTATTTAAAATATTTTACTTTTAATTATATTTATGCATGTGTATCTGAGAGTGAGTTTGTGCACATGAGTGCAGTGCTCTAAGAAGCCAGACCATTAGATCCTTCTTGGATCTGGAAATACAGGTAGTTGTGGACTGCCCAACATAGGTACAAGGATCCAAACTCAGCTCCTCTGCAAGAGCAATACATGTTCCTAATTACTGAACATCCCTTCAGATCCATGTGGGTTTATAATGTTAAATGTTCCTTAAAACATTCCACACAGGGAGATGATTAATTACAATCCTTCATGGATCCCAAATATCTTTTCCTGACAGCCATCTAAATCTTCATATTATGATATGAGCATAATTATCCAATCAATTCTTGTAACTACTTACAGTTAGGTTCTTATCTGTAGAACATGATTAATAGTCAACAGATAATGGAGTAAACTTTGTTACCCTGAGTCAGAAATTCTTATAAAAAGGATACCAATGCCAAGTGTGGTGGCTCATGGCCTTAATGCCGGAACTCAGCAGGCATAGGCAGGTGGATCTCTGTGAGTTTGAGAACAGCCTGGTCTATAAGCTAATGAAAATGTGTCAGAAGGCTCAAAGTCTAAACACACGGGCACATTTGAAGCTAGCGGGACACCCTGACTATAACTCTAGTCTAACTAACATCTTCTCCTAATTAAAGAATAGTTGCGTTTTAGCTTAGATGATGTGAAAACTGTAAAAGCGACATAGCTAGAATTTGTGAGCAGTGAGCACACAGCTATACAGACATGCTGTAGCAGTGGTCTGTGTAAATGACCAAGGCCCAGTGTGTTATGAAATCCCAACCCAGTCCATGAGCTGGCAACATCCTCGGCTAACCTGCCCAGCTAGCTCTTACTGCTGATCCTGTAAAAAGAAATTTTAGTGACAATTCGGATTTTAGGCTACACATTTTCCTCTTCGCTAAGTAGAAAGCATTTGCTTGTAATTGTTTCTAGTCTTGTTTTGCTTTCTGATGTAGGCTCAAAAGGACTTCTAACCAATTTTCTATATTTAGAAAGTTGGATTGCTGGTTGTTTTTCTTCTTTTATAAAATGCATTCAAAAGCAGAAAAAAAATAATTTACATCCTAAATACTATAAACCAAACAGCTCATCTCTGCTTAGGAGTATGAGACTTTAATGATGGCTATTAACGCTGGTAGCACATAGAGAAAATTGTGGCAGAGAGATATAACATACAGTTAAATGTCTTGTCCAACCCAGTCCTGATATGTTTTGCATATTAATATGAATATTTATGGATTTAGTCATTTCTGTCTGAAAGTTGCGTTCAGAAATGTTTTCACTTAGATGACACATCGACAAGGTAACAGGTGAAGAGAGCCTCTCTCTGGGCTCCCAGCACAGCACACTGTGGACTAGTGCTCAAGACATGGATTTGATCTCGGGTCTATTTAACAATTGAGTTATTGAACCGTGTCTCCATGGTGAGACTGCTTGGTGGGTTCTTCTGTTCAATGCATGGCTTGTGAGCCCTTATTTGGAGTTAGACTGTCCCTTGAGGCCCACAAGCTGAGTAACACACTAACCATCCAGTACTCCTGTTATGCATCACTGGAGGACGTGGTAGTGAAATGTGGAGCTGTTGGGGACACCCAAGCTACTGTATGTGCAAGGAATTATATCCAAGTTAAAGTTCATAGAAGGGATGCCACTGGGGATAGGTATGTCTTGGGGAATGAGGAGAATGTTGATAAATGTAAACTCTTAGAAAACGTACCTTACAAGTCATGTCTAGAAATGACTGCCCAAGACGGAAGCTAAGAGATTAGAAACTCCTTAAATGGTTCCTTAAAGTCAAGATCGGGTCCCCTACTGCTGTAATCTGAATTTCTTTGCTTTTAACTGTGAGGCAATCATTAACAGAAAAAGACAACAAATAAAATGATGACATTAAAGGTATACTGACACATTTTAGCATACATTTGCCATCGAGTAAGATAGCATTATTATTAGACTTTTCACATTCTGTGATACAAATAGGAAGAGGAAATTGAGGTTAATAAAATCTTAGGTAAATATGTATTGAAATGACCCTAATCCCTTCACAGACTGTAGAATCAATTAACACTTGTGCTTTTTATTCCAAGGATTCAAGATGTTAATAAATCACTATGCTTACAAGCAAAGCATTCACTAAATAATTATATTTAGTCTATATAGATACTAGCTATTCTTTATAGGTAGTATTTACAGAAATTGAAGGAATGCATTGTTTAAGTTTGTACTGAGAAATATTTCTGCATTATAAACAATCTTGTGGAGTGTCTTCTAAATGTGTAGCTTTTATAGAAGTGTGTCAAAATTTTATATCTAACATTCCCCCCCCAAAGTTAGATATTCATTAATTTCCTGCAGGATGATAGAAAGGTCACTGACCTTAACAAAGTTAATCCTCTCCCTTTCTTTGTTCTTAGGTGTCATTCGTCATGTCGGAGATGCCTTGAAAGACCATGCATCTAAGTCTCGAGGGAAGATATGTACCATAGGTATCGCTCCTTGGGGAATTGTGGAAAACCAGGAAGACCTGATTGGAAGAGATGTGAGTCCTGGGGAGTGCTCTACTGTGTGACTTTTCCTGGCATCTGTAATATGTACAACACGATACTTTTAAGTCCATCTTTCAAAGTCAAACTTGTATTATGAAAGGTTTACTAAATGATTACTAGGTTTCCAAATTCTATCTAGATAAACTCTCTGTCAATTCTCCCACTCAGGGTGTTGACAGTAACCCAGATCGACTGTGACTTAAATGTGCTAAATGGTCATCAAAGGATTAGTTTTGTAACACAGAAAGAGCCTGATCAGGCATTTCATCTCTTGAGCCCAAGAGATGGGTAGACACTGGAAGGCGCAATGAACAGCTACCAGGGCTAATTCTGATCATTCAAGGGCATGGAAAAATATTCAATAATAATTACAAGACACTGATGAAATACATGTAAGAAGACATTAAAAATAGACAGGCTTCTCATGTTTGTGGATTGGAAGAATTGATATTCTTTTAATGTCCCTTCTACTCCCTATCAAAATATCAAGGACATTTTTAGAGAACTAGGAATAATAACCTTAAAGTCCATACAAAACCAGATAGCCAAAAGATTCCTGGAGAGATGAAAGCTGGAAATGTCACAATATCTGATTTCGAGAACTACCATGGAGCAGCAGTGTCCTAGACAGTATGGCATTGACAAAGAAAGAGACAAGTGGCCAAGAAAACTGAGCAGAGATGCCATGTCTCCACATGTAACCAATGCTTAACAGGGGCACTGAAGATGCTCAGTGTACAAATGATGCATGTTCCCAAAGGACTCAAACTGGACCCGTATCTCTCACTCTGTACTTGAGATGGAACCAGATGGAAGGGGAGGTGGGGAGAAACTGGGAGAAGTAGAGGGAGGAGAAATGGTAATCAGGATATGAGAAAAGAACCTATTTTCAATGAAAGAAAAGAAGCATTGAAATGGAAGAGAGGGGGTAAGCAGAGCCTTAAATGTGAGATCTGAAGCCACTAGAACTTGAAAAAGAGGGAGCACTTGAAGGCCTTTGGAGGGGCAGTGGTTTTCTGCAGAGGTCCTGTAATGGCAGGAAACAAAAGTGAAGCTTTACTAGTTGGGATGAAATCAAACTCATGACTGCACAGCACAAGAAGCAACAGGATGAAGAGGCAACTTACAGAATGAGACAGATATTTGCGATTACTTGTCTGACAAACAGTTAGGGGCTGGAGTATATAGAAACTAAAAACAATTTAAACAAATATAACTCTAAAATGGGAAAGCAAACTAGTTATTTAATATACTGAAACACTGAATAGCATTAGCCATCAGGGAAATATAAATCCTAACTATAATGAAAACTGGTATTATAAAATAAATAACAAATTCTGGCAAAAATACACAGAAATGAAACTCATATATTGGTAATGGTGATATAAATTATTCCAGCCATTATGCAGAACAATATAGAGATTCCTCAAAAATGAAAACTAGATATACCAGTTCTATGTATAGATCCAAAGAAAGGTAAATCAGCACACAAAAACCTGCCACACTAATCACAATACATAAGGAATTAGCCTGGATGTCCAGCAACAAGTAGTTGAATAAAGATTATATATATATGTGTGTATATGTATGTAATAAAGATTTTATAAACACTATATATATATATATATATATATATATATATATATATATTAATTAATTAAATACTACCTAGACAGGAGATCCTGCCATTAACAGTAAATGGAATGGTGAGACCAGGACCAGGTAAAATAGGCAAGACACAGGCAAACAAGCACACCATGATTTGATGTAAGAATGACCACTAAGATCAGGAAGAATGGATGTCTGAAAAGAAGGAAGTGGATTTGATCTGTGCTATACACACATACAGAAATTCATGCTGAACCCCACTAGTATGTATAAGCAACTCATGAGTCAATTACATTTTAAAAATACATATAGTCAAAATATCTTTTTACAGTGCAAATTAAAATGGCAGGTTGCACAGTCACTGAAAACATAATTATAGTCTAGTTAGTCAATAAATCTGTCATCAAGGTTTATTAAATTTTGATCCGATGAGCTGCAATATGCATAGAATTTACTTGACTCTTTTGTTATAATAGTGTTTGTGTTTCAAGTTGTTCATGAGAGTAAAAGTACTATTCTTACTAAGAGACAAGGCCAGATATGGTGCTGGAGAAACTCAAATTTGATAAAAGCCTGGGCAGCATAAATCAGGGGCAGAACTCTTAGAACTTAATCAAGATCCTCAGTATTAATAAATGATCCATAATGAAGATGAATTGGGAATGATGGAATCTAGACTTCGTGGGAAAATATAGAAAATGTAATGATAGCTCTCTTCACTCCCCACTTTATGACGATTTCATCTCTAAACACAGCTGAAGTTCTTTGGCTGCAGGGGTCCTTTCCACTGGGACTTTATCTGATGAAAGACACTAAGGATCTCTCCAGGGTCCCTTTTTATTAGGATTTCCATTCAAGTAGACTCCATACTTGAGGGTTCAACCCTCACGACATAATTAGCTCCTAGAGACCTCACCTCTGAACACCATCACCTTGTAATTAGGATTTCAATGTTAGAAATGGGGTGGGAGGGAACATAAATTTTTAGTTCATTTCATCAATGTAAGAGTGCTTAGAAAATACAATTTGGTTTAGTTTGTTGTTAAGCCTTAATGTAATACTTTGCATAAGAATATGAGGCATTGATAGAACATGTGAATGCTTCATATTATCATTTCTTTATCCCTAGGTAAATTATAAAAGTAGTTTCTCTGTTGCCACAGCTTCTCTAGGTATAATAATGATGATACTAACTGTAATTTACTGAGTATGCCCTGAAGTGGAATAGCTTTGTAGGGTTAAGTAAACAAACCATGAACTAAAACCAAAAGTCCAACCCTTTCCAGAGACCACTGTTATATTTATTACATCAGGTAAAAAATACTCAACAGTGGAGTTTTTTTTTCTTTTTTTCTTTTTTTGGCTGTTATTTGGGACATTGGTAAATATCTTAACACCTACAAATTAAAGTTGAAAATATCCTCAGTAGATAATGAAAACTCTCTTCATTGTCCTGAAAAAAAAAAATCTTGGCTTAGATAGATAATTATAAAAGTACCAGGAGTGTGAAGTCAGGAAAGAACTTCTAGCAAATTCTGATTCTCACTTAACACACTTTAAATTTATATTCCTTACTTTTAGAAAACAACTTGGCCAGAATTATAAAAGGTAACTTAAAATTTTCTAAAATCTTTGCCTCTAGCCAACCCAGAAGCAAAGGTATATTTTCATTTTAACTTAAGGATGAACATTATGTTTGGCAATTTTCTGGCAATATAATTGCTAAACTATCTTTCTATTCAATGTTGTACTTGATGTACATTAAAAGTTCATCTCCTGGAGCTTTTATATCTTTGAAGAATTCTTAGAAACATGACTTTTTTAATTCTATCTTGCATTTTAAGCCAAGGTCAGTAATACAATTGGTTGCTAAATTGGATGTACTTAGCAACTCAGCACATTTGTCAGTTATCCTGAGGGCAAGCCAAATATGACTGCATGCTGTAAACTTAAAAAAAAAAAATCCCAACAGTGGCCTCAGTATGAGATTTGTTAGACTTTTTTAGATAAGACATACTCAGAGGATGCTAGAGGAAAAGGTCAGAGGCAAGGAAACCCACCTACATCTGTTAGTTATACAGGACAGAGCCAATGCTTGCTGAGCCTGGACCACACAGATTCTGGGCAAACTGCCATGGCAGCAGTTAGAGTCCCTTACTTCAAAAAGGCAGTTTTGGTGACAGTAATGATGAGTTTGGACTTGGGAGTGTTATCACTTTAAAGTTCCTTTGAGATATTTCCAAGAGAATTTCTGAAATGCTACTCAGCATATGAGGAAGAAGCAGAAAGATGGGCCTACAAGCTTTGATTTGGAAGTCATCTCCGATAGATGACAATCAGGTCATCCCAGAGGCTGGCATCAACATGGGAAGGCGACAGTAACGGAAAGAAAGCTGAGGCCCTGACGATCTCCACAATTTACTAGCCAAGTAGAGGGAAGAGCCAGCAAAATGGCTGAGATATAGGAACTGAACAGTGAGTTATGGAGGCCCAGGGAAGGCTGTGCTTTGGAAAGGGAGCACCATGCTACTTACAGACTGAGGATGGTGGAGACTTGGGACTGTTAGATGTCACTGGTCAAAACTGCTTTAGTGAAATAACAAAAAGGCAAGCCTGCTCACAAGAAGAAAGGCAGCATAGATGGCCCCAAAGAGAGATAGGCCATCCACAGGAGTCAGTGTGAGGAATTAAAGCAGCATAGATGGTACTGGTGTTTCAGGGAACATGGAGTCTAGTCTATAGGAGTTAGGATGCAAGGGATTAAACAACCCATGGTATTGATGTTTCAGGGAATAAGAAAAATAGATTACCCACCAATCAGTATTGTATTTCTATCCTAACAGCTATCGTTGATTTGAGTGCATGGTTCTTTAAGGCTTGTGTCTCAGCTACTCTTTAGAGTACAGACTGTGGTAGTTATGGTGGGGTTATGTACATTAAATGTATGTATATTAAATGAAATGCATTTAATATGCCTATCCCAATGGACATCGTAGTTTAGACCAGTCAACCTTGAACTGCTCAGGATAATGACATTAACCTACAGTTGAGCCTATTTTGAAGTAAAATGCTAAATAGTTCATATAGTTTACTGGCCACAGTACACAGTGGAGTACTAAACCAATCACTTACCTTTCTAATCATATGAACACCTGGATGCTATGGTTTTCTGCCACTACAAAACATCATAACAGAAAATTACTAACCTAGAAAAAGAACAAACTTTGTAGTTTCTATTGAATAGATATTGTTTTTAATACCATTGTAAAGTTGAAAAAATCACAAGTTGAACCATTGCATGTGGGGGATTTTTATCTTAAGTTGATTTTACAACTAGTCTCAATTTATATAGATACACAGAAAATATATAATGCATAGGGTTACC